GCCACTCTGGAGCTATGACTCAGGCCACAGCAGGAGCCGCTGAGAGGGGAGGCTGAATCACCGTTTACGGGGCAAATGAATCTCCATGACATGCAATCATGGAAAGAGGACTTTGGACCCTGGTATCATTGACTAGGGTCTTCTGTTATTTTTTATTTTTTCTGAGACAGAGGCTCACTGTGTAGTTCAGGCTAGTCTTGAACTTGCTATGTACCCTGGGCTGGCCTTGAACTCACGGTGATCATCCTGCTTCAGCCTCCCGAGTGCTGGGATTACAGGTGTGTGCCACCTAACCCGGCTGGCTAGGGTCTTCTACCAGGCTAGCAGCATTCACATCTGTGCCAGCGCCAATCACTGCCAACAACCTTCCAATGCTGCTGCAAACACTGCCCTAAGAACTGCTTGCCATGCACTTTCCCTGGGGATGCTTCTGCTTGTGTGTGTGCACTGGGCTGAGCGGGAGACAGGGCAGTCAAGCAGTCATAGCTCGGCCTTTCATGTCTGCACCCACCCATTCCAGCAGCCCGCGGTCCCACTACTACATATCCCATGTTTCTGGGAGAACAGCACCATTCAAAAGCACGGAGGGGAAGAAGAGGAACAGAACAAGCCAGTGAACAAAGACCTGCTGAACAGAAACCTGCTGCCCAGGGAGTGTGCCCAGGGGCAGCTCTGTCCGCCTGCGTCCTCATCTCTCTCTCTCACAAGTTCAGAAACCCCTTCGAGTGCTCCTCATCCTTAAGCAATGCTCAGACCTTTGAAGAGCTTTTGGGGGCCTTAGGAAAACCCTGTTGTGTTCTGTTTGTAAGCAGGGCCGGGATTATTCTGACGTTGGTGTTTGCCTCCATTCCGGTTCCTGATGTTGCTTGCACAAATATCTGGATCTCATTTCCAGAACTCATCTGCTGTAATTTTGTCTCCAACCCTAGGTCTCGACCCTCAGTGGAATTATAATGAGTTGCCCTCAGGATCGTGGAGGAGCCTCATTTCAGAGGAAAATGCCTTTTGCTAGGCCGTGCCAATCTAGCCTGTAGTTAGCATCTATGAATTTCTGCCTCTGCTTAACGGGCCCAGCGAAATCTGTCGCTTATGATGGCCCATATTTGCTGTACTTTAGACAGGTCTCTCCATAATTCTGAAATTGTTCCTCCCAAATCTCATTTTTAAAACAATCACTGCTGAGTAAGTTTTCTTCCAAAGCTACCTTGAGACTTCCTTCTCGGAACAAGAATAATGATTGTTTTCCAAAAAGTGAACGTTGTAGAATCTGAGCACTAACATGCAGGGCTGAAGGGCGTGGTGCTAAAAGTTCTCCAGGCTGCAGGGATGCTGCCTGAAGGAAAAGGCATCAGCTAGTGGCCTCAGTTCTCGTCTGGAAAACAGGACTGTCTTGATAGGTTAGGGTGCTTGGATTTTTGCTCTGTGGAGAAACAGATGCACTTGGAAAATGCCATTTTAGAACACAGACCTTTTCCTTTATCAAGACTGACACATTCTTTTTTGGGAAGGGTTGTGCTCTCTTTATGATTGAGCAAAATATTGAGGAACTGGGATGTCAGTGATCCAAACCATTAGTTCAGACTGCCTACTTTTCTTGACCTCTTCTTTAGCTATTCATTACAGTGGGAAGGTTGCCCCGCTGGGAGACTCACCCGGCTATGGAAGGAAGAGACAGGGATGCATTAGAGTCTAAGAACTTGGTTCCTGTTCCTCCTGTGCAACCAGCTAGCTGTGAGCTCTTGTTCACTGCCCCAGCCCTCCGGTTCTTCTGTCTGTGAAAGAGGCAGGTTGAGCTACATCTGTGATCTGCACACATTTTAAAGTAGTCGAGTGTTTCCTAGTGCACACTTTTTCAGAAAGAAAACATGCAGAGCAGCAGAGGTAAGGGCACCAACTCATGCCCATGAGGTTCTGCACCCCAAACCTTGGCTGCTCTGAGGACAGGGTCGGTCATTGGTGAGTGGATCCTTGAAAGAATTTTGCCCTAAATGGGACGCTGCAGTGGTAGGAAGCTGGAAGGCGGAACCAAGGGGCTCTATCTTGAGGTCACCTTCCCTGCCCCTAGGCAATTTACCTATGGTTAGAGATAAATTCCAACGGGCTACTTGTGCATCAGTAATGCCCCTTAGGCACCTCCCCAAACCTAAGCTATATGTTTACCCCCACAACACGTTCCTGGCAGAGAAAAAAGCCAGACTTTAGTGGTTGGGGGTTCTCTCTCTGTGTTCTTAAAATAAAGGCCACTTTATTTCATATTTCTATCTTTTTAGCTGTGCCAAAAATTCTATCAATCCTGAAATTCTTTTTGAACTGAATGAGAAGTGCATGTTTCTTATCTGGCTGCTCCTTGGTTTATTCTAAGCCTTCAGAAACAATGCCCTGTGCTCCCTGAGGCTCACAGAAAGGTTCACATAGGGTAGCAGATGCTCCAGAAAAACAGCTTACAGGATGCCCAGCCTGAAATGCTGGCAGCACAGTCACCACAGGAACTGCCAAGTTGGCTTTGCTGGCTGAAGATGGCCTTGTTGCCAGTGACGGCTTTCTATGCGAGTGGGGAACCACTCAGACTGCTCCAAAGCTCCAGGGCACCCAAGGACCCAGTTTGTCTAGCACAGGCGCACAGTGGGACACAGGTAACCACAGCTTAGCACAGGTAAGCACGCATGCGCTGGTTACAGCACCATGTAAGAATGTAAACATGCGATAACAACCCGTATGGGGACTATGCAATAAAGACTCAGGTGGCTCTTGTGCTCTGCTCTGCTCCATGCAGGCTGCTGTTGTTGCTGATGTCTGGCACATGCGTATTCTTTAACCTGGGGGCCCCACCCTAGAAATCTCCTGTAGGCTCCCCAAGCAGCCCAACAACCCGTGTGGGAGAAGCCACCATTTTCCTTTCTTCCTCACTCGTTCCCTAATTCACAAACAGTTATTAATCACTCCCGGGTCTAGACCACCAATGGTCTGGGTGGAAGGCTGACGATAACACGTTAAGTCAACAAACAGCCACGCAGTCACCCACAAGAGTTGTGCACGATGGTGGTGCACAGAGGAGGACAGCCAGAGAGGAGAGAGCTAGCGTGAGAAACAATCAGGAGAGGCTGCCCAGAACAGCACAGGAGACCTGGGATCCTGTGGCCAGCGGATCTGGAGGCACTCTGGGGCAGAGCCCTGGTGGTTCAGGTACAATACAAAAGCAGGGGAGTGAGAGAGTGAGCAGTAGGCAAAGACCTGGCTGCTGTGGGCACAGGGTAAGCACAGCTGGAAGGCAGGTGGGCGGAGGCAGCCAGACTCATCCTTCCACGTCTGCATCTAACCCTGACTTCTGCAAAACAGCCTACCTAACGTTATTGGTGGTCATGATCACACGCTTAAACATTTACTTTTTATGTCCACTCTTGCCAGGCGCTGCCCCAAGCACTTTACAGTCAGAGGTAGTCAGTAATTTTGTGCTTTCACAGAGGAGAGAACAAAAAACAGAGAGGGTAAGCGCCTGAGTTAAGGTCACACAGCTAGTATGTGGCAGGGATGGGACCACGTGCCAATTCTAGGCTCTCTGCAAAGAAGCAGGATGGTGTGCTGAGGAGGGCACGCAGTGTATAACCTTGCTAGAAAGACATACAGCAAGCCATTATCTACACGAATATGTATTTTAACTCCAGCACGGCAGGTGATGAGCGGGAAAAGTAAAGTGTACACCAGCTATTGGGGAAGGCTTCACAGACGTGGGAAGAGCCGAGCTGAATGGTGTGTATATCACACACACACACACACACACACACACACACACACACACACACACCTGGAGCATCGTATTAAAATGGTGCGGGCAGGTGAGCTCCTGCCAAGGCTGCCGCCGTCACCCTGCTGGACAGGGCTGCACTAGAGCCCAGAACAGGGTCACGGTCCCTCCTTGGGAACCAGCTAACCATGTGCTCTTAGCTACAGCCTGCCCATTGTCCCCAGCCTCAGGTTCCCTGTGCGACGGCTCTGGTGGCTGCTTATTCCTGCCGCGGGGAGGCTTGGAGCAGAGGAAAGGGCAGCGGTCAGTGCTGCTGCATCTGGTGAACGCTCCCAGGCCAAGACTGAGCCGGAAGCTACCAGCCGGATGGTGTCTTTTCCCTCTCGGGTTTTATCTGTAGACCAACCCTGTGTCCCTTACGCCCCAGACTGAGAGCATGTCACAGGGGTGAGGTGAGACTCACTGCAAAGGGGCTCTGCTGTGGTGAAGGTCACATGCTTGAGGCCGGAGAGACAGCCTTCTAAGAGCTATGACCCAGCGTAGGTCCCTCAGCCTTTCTGGGCCTCAGTTTTCTCATCTGTGAAATGAGGTGGCAAATATTGGCTTTATTTAATACCTCTACCTCGCTTCTCATTTTCCTGTCCCTACTAGAGAGACCGAAACACAAAACATTCACATTCTTAGCCACTGTGCAGGCAGGCTGACCAGATGGCAGACTCTGGGCCAAGCCTCCTGGCGGGGAGGAAGGGATGGTCCTGACCGTGAAGGCAAAGCCTCACAGGAGAAGGCTGTGTCTCCTTTGCCCTTCCTCCTTTTGCTGAAAGGTGAATTTTCTGGAGGCTCTGCAGCCTTTTTCTGACCATGAGGACAAATTACAGAGGAACAAAAAGGCTTGGTTCTTTTATAACAGCTTCACACAAACAGTTGTGCCAGTCTTGGATCTTTGGCTATGTTACAGATAGAAAGCAAGAGACAGAGAGATATAGACAAATGAAAGTGGGTGAATCCTTTACTTGTTTGATCCATTGTTTATCAAGCTTCTGTTCTTTGTGTTTAATGCATTTCTAAATTGATACAAAGGGGATAAGAATAGAATCCATTTGGTGGTTGTGTGGGTACTAAATGAGCTCATGTGTACACAGCCAGCTCTACGGCCTGGCTTGTGGCAAGTGATCCATGAACAGAGGCCGATACAGAAGGGGAAACGTGCCATCCCTCAGGAGTGTGGGAAGCGGAAGGCCCAAGGGGATGATCCTACCTCGATCGCTGAAGTCGTCGACCAGCACAATCTCTGCCACCAGCTCTGGGGGTGAGCGGTTCAGCACGCTGTGGACAGTGCGAAGCAGGGAGGACCAGCCCTCGTTGTGGAAGGGGATGATGATGCTGGTGTTGGGCAGGACCTCCAGGTAGCGTTTGCTGTTGCAGCTGGAGGGAGACACAAACGGGAATGAGAGGACAGCAATACCACTTCCTCGCCAGCCCCTGGGACGCTGGTGGGAGCTGGGGAAACCCGGTCCCCAGGGAACTTGCCAAGTCCTGCGTCTAACACCTGCTATGTAGCAAGGTGGGAAATAAGAAAGACTCTCGGTTTAGTACGAGGTTATGATTCCAGGCAGAGCAGAGAGCTTTGGCGACGCTCTGGCCTCCCTTTCAGCTGTGACTTATAACAACAAACATGTATGTTTTGGCCTCTGTCCTTATTATCTGGTGCAGAGCTTATAAAACCTTTGTATTTTCTTGAGCCCTAGAGGTGCTAGGAGGGCCTTCTATTCTATGTGCACTGTTTTTGGAGCCTGATTCCTTCGGCAGGGATCCTAACTCCCTCGGGGTGTCCTGGGTGATAAGAGCATCTTCTGTTCTAATGAGGCTCACTCTTGACAATCTGGAGGAGCAGGCTGGTCAGCAGAAAGGCGACACCCTGATTAGAAAGCTGGAACCCTACAGTCCCACCTGCCACCCTCTACAAAGGGAGAGAAGCAGGAGCCTGAGTGGTCACTGAGTGAACTGCTGTGAGGGAGCTTCCTAAGCTCACGAGCCAGTGAGCGAGGCCGGGCTGGGGGCCACAGGAAGGCACTGGGAGGCAGTGTGTGCAGAGAAGGCTTGGGAGCTCCATGTCCCTCCCAATGTAACGTGCCCCAGGTGGCTTTTCACCTGGCTGCTCTCTATCCTTGGAACTAATACCCTTTGTAATAGACTAGACAGAGAAAGTGATTCTAGAAGCTCTAGCAAATTAACCCCAAGTATTCTGCCGTGGAAGCTCTCATATGTAGCCAGTGGGTCACAAGTACTGGAGGCCTGGGTCATGCTCACTGGGCAAGGCGGGGCAGTCTTGTGGGGTCTCAACTCCTGCTCCTGGTAGTCAATGTCAGAATCGGTTTGAATTTTAAGCACACCCAGTGAGTGTCAGAGAATTGCTTGTTGGTGGGGAAATAAACCCACATATCTGATCACAGAAATATTCAGTGATGAGACTATAATAGGAGAAAAGACAGTTTTTTCTTATCGCACATGGCTCCTTGCACATTTTTTCTCCAGTGGAGGAAACATGACTTATCTGTGCGCTGGGAAGAATGAAGCGGGCTTCACCGGCTCAGCCTCTCCGCTCTCCCTCCTGGGTTCTGCTCGACACAAGCCGCATGGAAGCTTGGGAGTGGAAGGTCCCGTCCCCGAGAGCACTGGAATCCTCCAACACTCACAGAAATCCACACCATTCTTTAATATCACCACACATCCATCCAGTTCATGTTCAGATTGCCTTGGTCTTAAGTCTTTTTATAGTTGGTCTGTTTAAATCAGAACAAAGTCTACATACCACATTTAGTTGACAGGTCTCCTAAATCTCTTCTGCGTAAGTTGCCCCCTCTTTCCTTATAATTTGTTTGTGAAGAAACTGGACCATTTGTTTACGGAGTCTCCCAAAGTCTGTCCTTTGCATCTCTGCAGTGTGTTTTGACCCCTAGCTGTAAACGGTAGTTGTAGAGGCCTGAGCTAATCCAGTAAGATATTCTGGCAGCGTTTTTTCAGCAGGTGGTGTGTACATCCCTTTGGAGACACAGGAGGTTCACTGTGGATTCCTCAGGATATTCCGCGTACACGTACAGAGACACGTACACATACACAGTGCACCAAACACACACTGTTACCCACAGACATTTTCTTCATTCTTTCTAATCTCGATGCTTTTGATTTTTTTCATCTAATTATCTTACAGCCTCCAGTCTAGTGCAGGAAAGAAATGGCAAGAGCAGATATCTTTGTTTACCATTATGAAGGTTAGGGCAGTTTTCTACAGATGCCCTTTGTCAGACTGAGAATCTTTCTTACATTCCTAGTTTGCTGTGTGTTTTATCCTGACAAAGTATTGGACTTTATCAAATGCTTTTTTTCTTTGCCTCTGCCAAGACAACCAACAGGTGTGGATGCTTTATTTTATTAATATGTTATACGACACTGATTGCTTTTCTTAGATTGAACCAGCTTTATAGTCCTACTTGGCCGTGGCATATAAATGCATACATTGCTGCATTTGGTTTGCTAGTATTTGTTGAGGAGTTTTGCACCTGTATTCATTAGATATACTGGTCTGTGGAATCTTCCTGTGATGTTTTTGTCTGGTTTTATATCTCATATTTACTTTGCTGGAAGTCGAGGTTACTTGCTTGCCTTCCTATAAGATGTGATAGCCTCATGAAAGCAATGCCAATATTATTGGTACAATATTATTCCAGATTTTTAAAAATCTGCATGGTAAATTTTATTATGGACATATAGTCAAATTTTACATTTTGAAGCCACTTGAATAAGTCCCGTCTACAGGATTCTTAACACACAGTTGGGTTCATTTATTTCATCTACCTTTTCATTTTCAGGGTTTCAGTTTTACTGTTTAATTCTGATCTAATCTTGTTACAATGATCTAAAGAATTTACCTGGTTCCAAAGTTCAATCTAAGAAGACAGTTCAAAGATTTTTGGTTTTTATCTTCCTCTCTTTTTAGTTTTCTCCCTTCATTTAGAACATGTTTTATTTGTGCTTAGTCCTTGCATTGCTTTCTTTCTTCTTTATACAAGTAACTACGTAAATTGTTATCCCTTTGATCTTTTCTTGAATACATTATAGCAGGCTATTACACTTTTCTTTGCCTAATCTTTTCAACTTAGCAATACAGCCTAGAAATTGTGCCATAAAATGATTATGTTTGTTTGTTTATTTATTTGTGTTTATTTCTTAAAGAAGTAGGTAGGTTCAATTCAGGAAACAAGAAGAAGGTCCATTGGGTCACACCAAGACCATTTATACCGAGAAGGCTTATTTATTTGCTTCATGGTAAATTTTACTATTTAGCTTCAGGAGGGAAGTGATAAGAAAAGAGGTAAGCAGCTTACTGGGCTGCTAAAACAGTGATTCTGGAAGGGCAGTGCTGCTGGGCCAGAGGCTGAACTGCACCCGGGAGCTGGTCAGAATACAAATCTTCTGGCTGGCCAGGTAGCTTGAGTCATCTCTCAGGGTGGGCCAGCAGCGGGTATTTTAACAAGCAGAATCTCTGTGTGATTCTAGTGCCAGCTCAAGTTGCAGAATCACTGCCCTCAAACATTCCCATTCCCAAGTGGAAACATGGGTTCCCTGGGCCCGGAACACAAGGGGCTAAACCCTGTGCAGATGGTTTCCTGGGCTGCACTCTGGGCAGATGCATCTGTAGGCAAGTGAGCCAGCCAGGTGAGGGAGGACAAAGCCCACCCCGTGTGCTGCATGGGGCCCACAATCCACTTTACCAGCTGCTCTGGAGATGAGATGGCCTTTCCAGGTTGTCCCAGAAAGAGACAAGGCCTGGCTTTTCTATCCAAGCATCTAGAGCAAGGCAGCTTTTTGCTACCAAGGACAATTCTCAGAAAAAAAGGCTGGAAGCTGGCCCTGCTCCAAAGTCCCAATAGCCTGGGGCCAGGGGGATCAGAAGAGAGGAAAGGGCAGTGCTTCCCTACTCACTACGGCATGGGCAGCCAGCCTACACTACCAGGAAGGCGTTATCACCTCCACATTTCAAACCTGACAAACTAAAGAGGTTCCACAAACTTCTCCAAAGTGACACAAATGAAAACAGGTAGGATCTGATCCCTGCACCTGCATTCACAACCATCATCCAATTCCCATGAGTCAGGTCCATTCATGTCCAGCTTTCATAAGAGCCCCAGACAAGGGGGAGGGGGGCTTTGCCATCCCCACTGGAGAGAGGGCACTGAGATTTGAGGCAGGGAGGTGGCCTGCCCAGGAGAAGGGGATCCCCACTGCAGCAGCAGCCTACAGAGACACGACTGAGCCTTGACTTTCTCAAGGAAAGGAGCAGTGCTCAGTCTGCCACAGCTGGTGTCTAGCTGACGGGAGCTCAGATAATGCTCAGCTCGATCCTGTGGGGAGGAAGGGAAGCCGAGGGAAGCTCCGACGGTGGAGAGCTGCCCAGGTGTGAGGAGCACTAAATCACGCAGCTCCAGCTGGGCCGGGCCACTTGTGTCCCCCACACACCGCCCACGTCCTAGCTTAAATGCTGTCTACTCAGAGAAGTCTTCTCTGACTGCTGCTTCCTCCCTCTGCCCTATGTAAATTCTTCTGATTCTTCGCCTCGGGGGATCAGTCAAAACCATGGCCCAACGACAAGTGTGGCAGATTATTCTTGTATGACTCTCAAGCTAAAAGAATGTTTACATTTTTAAAGAGTTACAAAAACAAAACAATACGCAAACAAAAGAAGGATATGGAACACGGACTCGCCATGACCCAAAAGCCTAAAACACCTACTACCTGGTCCTTAACCAAGAAAAAGTTTGTTGGCCCCAATTCCATTTTGCAGCACCCCAAGTTTTTCTTTGCAAACAGCACACTCTATATACTTTATTTAGGCGCATATTTAGGTTATCTGTGTCTCCCCTTTAGAAAGTAAGCTGTGGTGAGGACAAGGGGGACTTTTATGTTTGGCCCAGTGTAGCTATATACAGTCTGCGACCAAGGAACACTTGCTGAGTGAACAGATGAATGTCACCTGAGTTCAGCTGGCCTTCTTATACCACGCCCCAGACTCTCCCTTACACACCCCCATGCACTGCAGGCTCGGGCAGTGATTCACCTGCAGGAAACGCTTTGTCCCTGTGGGTGGTTGGCAGGGTTCAGAGAGGAGGAGCACCTCGGGGACCACTCCAACACAGTGAGCCAGGGCGCTCCCCCAGTCACATGTGGCTCCTGTGGGCTTCCTTGGGGTACAGGAGAGAGGACCCGAGGACCAGGCGGGCTGGGAAGGGACAGCCATCCACATGAGCCAGAAGTCAGATGCAGTGGACAGAGCATCAGTCCCAAAGGTGAGCAAGGCTGAGTCCCCAGAATGGCTAAATGTGTTTACCTTTCACAACCACACAGAAGGGACTCTGCAGACTGGGTCA